GGGTCAGGATGTGCTGCCAATTTTCCAAGGAATCCTTAGAGTTATACTTAATTCTTAGACTAAGGTTAATCTTGGAAAGTAACTAATACGAAATGGATTATCTTTTTCGTCTTCATCAGTCCCATCTCTAGAAACAAGGTTAATAAGAGACGTAGGAATACTTACTATTTTGCCAAAAATAGATGCATCCACAAACTTATTTGATACACATTAGAAACCGTCACCGTCACATGATGTGTGCTGCATGATGTATTTCATCATTGTGAGGAACACCAGGTTGAGGTGCATGCAAATTGGTGTAATGTCAGCAAAATGCAATAGACTCTGTTTCCTTGGGTTCGTGAGGGATTCAAATTAATCAAGTAAATAAGCAAAATAATTTATTAGATCCAATCACATAATGAAGTGTTGATATTGTGCACGGTATTGGTTGTGTATCATAAGCGTAATTAAAACCTGCATCACAGATGCATCTGACCCTCTCTGAATAAACAAACATAGCAGGATTGTAATTAATTCGGGCCTGCTACAGTTTGGTCATGATATGCGCAACACGAAACGTATATGTAAGCTTCAAATCGTACTCCGACGAATTAAAAATCCCATGAGAACGTTCATTAAACGACAGTCCTCTCGGAATTATGTGTTCCGATTCGTCAAATAATTATGAGGCACAGGCTATAAAATTATGGACGCTTCAATATTCTTGAGCTGGTAGTCGGATAGTGCTAACTATGATATACTGTTTCAAACTCGACTCATACCAGCGAGGTTGCAGAAGCGGTAAGAGATATGAGGTCATTTAAATAGCTGCAAAGTGTGCAACTAAGAAACTGGAACTTTCACAGTTCCGAGTATTTCCGGAGATATATGGGTGATTCTACACAAAATAGGTAACTCAGTGTCATCAATCTATAGAAATGAGCTTTACGTGTAGGTCTGTACCGCATTCGTAGTACATTTAGGCCCAGACAAAAAACAACATGCACAAAAGCGAGATTGTACAGGTCCGTATTTTCCTCAATGGTCTTGGAATAATCTAACAAAATTAATGATTATTTTTATAGAAAGAAGTGCACAGACTTTTCAGAATTCTTTATCCGACAGAAGTACCTGTATCATCGTTCGAATGGATAATATTGATTATAACAAGTTCAATTTGAATATCTAACATCTTTGTTTCGATTGTCTCTTGAACGTGACGCATGCAATCTTTCCAATGGTTTGCCGTCACTCTGTTGACAGCTTCATAAAACAAATTTTTCATGTCACAATATTTGAATGGTCTATTGTTTGAAGCTACATAGTTTTTTATATTTGCCTAAATCATTTCAATGGGATTTAAGTCGCAGTGATAATGCCTTAAAACGGTCTTATTTGGGTTTTTAGCCATTTCGTCAATAACATTAAGTTTATATCTACAGGGTGACTTCGAAGTTGAGTCATTTATTTTAACAGTGAGTAGATCTGATCAAAAGAAATGTTTTTTTCCTTTACCATTTTTCTGGTAAAATTAAAGTAACAAAGTTATAGCCCTTTGGAAGTTTGAGTACCGCCCTGTCTCAATAATAATATTATGTGCTCGTGTTTGGCGACAACGGATATAATCCGCCTTATCGGTTCATCGCATCGCAAACAAAAAAGCGAAAGAATTTGGAACGATGTTTTTACAATTATTTCATTCAGTTGTATACAGTCAGTGTCAGTCGGTAACGCGTGAGTGAATAGTGGTGTCTGTTGCGTGGCTCAAACGAAATAAAAAATGGCACATGTTTATGTGGATCGGTATCCCAATCGAGTGCAACCAACCCCTCGTGCCTTTGTTAATGTAGTACAACGGGCTCGTGAATCAGGTGACTTAAGACCTCACATGGGGACGGCATGCCGGTGCTCCAAGACCTCACGATCAAATACAGGTCCGCACTGAAATACTTGTCGGGAGGATACTTTATAAAACAAGGTAAAATTTTTTTTTATTTTTTTTTTTATTTTTACACACATATTTTGGTTCCTTCTACAATCATTATCTGAAAATTAATGACTCAACTTCAAAGTCACCCTGTATATTTATACTGCCTGACTAGATGCTTTGACCATATTTTCATTTAAACTAATGTCTTATGATAGGAGCCATTGTTGAATTTCAGCTTTTCTTGTGGGCATTGTGGGAATTTCTTCTAGTGCGGTATGCAGCACTATCCAGTACAATGATGGCATTGCCGTCAATCTTTGGGAGCGTTTCTTCAAACCATCATTCAAATGAACTCCAGTCCATTTCTTCATGGTAGTCGGTCCGTTCTCTTTGACTCAAATGCTCTTAAGGCAGCGAGCACAAAGCCATCTTCAGTGCTAATGTGACAGATAACAGATCGTTTTCTTTTTCCTGGGAATAACTATTTCATATAGTATACAGGAAAACTAATAATAATACAAGCAGAGTATATAACAGGTGTTGCTTTCAAATCTAATAGATATAGCTAAGTTAAGTGTATCAAAGTTTTCAGCGTGGGCTCATAGATTCCGTCTACTTGACAACATTTTTACAACACAAATGACGAATTATTTAGGCCAGTTGTTAGTCCATCTAAGAAGGCTTATCTTGCTGATTTAATTGTAAAGTCAGCCCATACTTTAGGATTTGTATGTCCTGCAGATTCCTGCAGTGGTCGCTATATTTCTTTATTGATTTTAAATAATTTCTTCCTCATAAGTAATCTCTTGGCTGTCCATCAAAATACTATTTCTGCCCAGTTTTCTATACTCAAAATGAAGTTCTTTGAGTAGACTATAAAATATGGTCCTTTTTGAAAGTAGGTATTTCTTCATCACTATTAACCTCCTGTATGCGAATAGGGTATAGTTCATCCTTTTTTGCTTACATTTTATCACGATAAGTCTCAAGCATGTAATTTTTTGCAGTACATATACATAAGCCCATCGAACTAGTTCTCACTCTTCGGCGGTTATAAATCGAAATACTCACATTCCCAAAAGAGATAAACTTTTTTCATATATTATTCGTGTGCGTCCCTCACTTTGACATATGGACCTAGATTTGAGTGACAATTTATCAATTATAAATGAGATTTGAATTTTGGGATGAGGCGTTACGGCGTACCCGTCGATCCATTTTTCTCGTTTTTTCGGTGACAGATGAGAAAAGTGTACGTTAATAATAGATATGGATAGGGATCGAATTTCTACTAGTCGGTCCTATTCATTCATTTTCTTTACCATTCTAAGGGCCGATTTCACCAACATTAATATTATGGACCAATGGGAAAATACCTTATCGAAATGCAATTTGACAGAAGCTGTCAAAGGTCTCAGAATATCAACGATTTCTATTGAAATATTGAATAAAATCTTGAAAATTCGACTGTATTAGAAACAAGCCACTTCTTGATTAAAACATCATGCTTTTGTACAGAGAAAACAGGTCAACTTTCATGTATTTTGATTTGTGTTATAAATTAACATTTAACAATCACTTACCCCCGATTTTCTTGCTGTTAAATTTGGCAGCAGATTTGGATGTTTGTTAATGCATGCCAATCTCGAATTTAAGTTCAATATACTGTTATCATTACATACCTGTTGAACAGTGTGGATTTGTCTGTATTTTGCAAGAAAATAGAATATAAAATACATTCCATCCAATTCCTCATCTTCCTTTACATCATAATAGTAATCAGATAATCATTATAAGCAAATTATGAAACAGTTCAATATGATTTCCTTAAAAGATAGAAGGACGATTTCTGACATTTGCTGTGTCCATAAATTGTTGAATGGCCTCACTGACTGTCCAGATCTTTTGGCAAACTTGAACTTTAACACTCCTGATAGAACGTTTAGAACCTATCATCTGTTTAGAATACCGTTCCGTAGAACCAATCTTGGTCTTAATTCCCCTTTGGTCAGGGCTCAAAAAAATCATAATAATTTCTGTAATATAGATTTATTTAACATTAGCTTGAACTCCCTGAAAAAGGCTTTAAAGTATGAGTATTACAGCTCTATGGCAGACTAAAATAGAAATGTTTTATTTTTTTACATAACTCAAGTTATCACCTCCAATATCATTTCTGATATAATTTCAATTTAATTTTGATTTCAGTTTTAATTAAACGTAAGTGAATGTTAAATTATGTATACTTCTTTTATTAAAAAAGTTAAATTAATAGTTTATTGCTTATAATTAGAACTACTCACTCAGTTTATGTTGTTACAACAATATCGGAGGATAAAAAATATTAACATTGAAGTATTCAATAATGTAATATATGTATATGTATACGATATTTTATGTAAGTTTAGTTTTAGTTCACTGAGGGTGTGTGTTGGGTTTACCTGTTAACACCCCAAACTGTATATAAATAAATAAATAAAAAATGAAATTTATTAATTTACGGGTTAATGAATTTCTTCAAAGCAATAAAAACGTTGTCCTCTCCATCTTAAAACACAGATAATATGTGTAAGACGTGTCAATCGCTACACCTCCGTGATGCATAATTCAATTTCTATGGACATAGACAAAAAAAATATGAAAAATGTCTCACAAATAATGTCTTTTAGGTCCAAAAATCATAAAAACTATTAATGTTTATTGTTTGATTGAAAATAATCAGACAATCAGCAAAGTATACGCACTATTAAAAGACTCGTACTGAAAACTATATAATAACACAAAAAGTTTCCCAAATTTAGATAAACGGTAACAACAGTAAACAAAACACGCTAAGATTGGCGTGGTCGAGAATATCAACTTATTTTGACGAGTCCTATTAGCAGTTAAAATAAATGACTTAACTTTAAAAGCACCCCGTAGATCATGATTGTAATCTACTATTTCTTTCTGTTTCAGGTCCGACATCATGAAGGTGGCTACAGCCATAACCGTGCTCCTATTGGTCGACGCCGCTGTGATCCAAGCATCAAAAAGGCGGAGAGGCATATCGGAAAACCAGATATCCCAACCTACAGACATTTGCGACATGGAGGAGTACGAAAACATGGCCTTCAAATGCTTTTGCCTGAAAGGAAAGTTTCCCAAAGTACAGTCCACCGAGTGTTGGATATTCGACCCTGTCGGCAAAGATCATTTCTTTTGGGATCTGATAGTCAAATCGCAACCGCAACTAGTCAAACTGAAAGTCATTGTATACAGAGGAACGTTGAGAACCGTACCGTCGCACTTTTTGCAAAATATGCCGTACCTGAAGAATTTTACGATATCCTTTGGCACGCTGTTGGATGTCGAGCGACACGTCTTCAGCAACTCTTCTTCCCTGGAAGTGCTAAATCTGAAGAAGAACAAAATCGAATCACTGAATTACAATTCGATCTCAAATCTGGCATCGCTGAAACTGATAAATCTAGAAGAGAACGAACTGATGAGGATAAAGTACGGTTGGTTTTACAACCTTCCCAGTCTGAAAACTGTCAAGCTGAATAAAAACAATATCACGAAGATAGACGACAAAGCCTTCACGAATATGGGGAGCGTGATAGAGATGGACCTGTCCGAGAATTACGTGTGTGACATCAATGAATTGACGTTTTTCGGTTTGTCGAAGCTAAGAAGACTCGACCTCAGTTACAACAAGATATTAAGTTTAACATCTCGGATATTTTCGGAGCTGTGGGATATAGAGGTGAGTTTAGCATATGTATACGAGTCGCGTGGGTCATTTGGCTGCAGGGTTTCAAGACCTGTAGCACATTATTTAATAAATAGTATTGTTTTAACCGTTTCCGAAGCCATGATGCTCCCATCTCTATTTTGGCGTATGATTCAGACAGAATAACAGAAAAATACTTTAAAAAAAAAATGTTAGTGTTGTCTGCACGAAGTAGCGTTGAACAGATTGGGACAGGTCTCACTTGTCAAGAACTTTTTGTCGGAATTATAATAAAATCGTTAGTGAAGCCTCGAAACAGGCTGAGGCGAGCATGAGAAGTATGAATGATGGTCCGCGTAAAGAGGGATTTATTGTGGGGCCGTCGATGCTGCGAATTGATTTATGATGCCGCTGGCGCGAAAGTTGAAACAAATATGGCGGGCGGCATATGGGGAAAGGGAAACGGGGCGCTTGCCTCCTCCCCCTGAAAAAAGTTTGGTAAGCGTTTATTACTACAGTTATGTATTAGTTATCTGGTGACTCTCAAGGATCTGTCCTTTGTTCATTATTCATTTTGTTCATAAATTATAGAGACATTCAATTAGATGACCAGTTTCTGATGTATGCTGACGATCTCAAGCTTCTTTGTCCGATTCGGTCTCTTGATGATTGTGGAAAGTTACGATATAACATTAACATGCTTGACAGGTGGCGTCGCAAAAATAGCTTACCTTTAAATGCTGCAAAGTGTAACGTGGTCAGTTGTACCAACAAAACTCAAGCAATCGTATTTTGTTATAATATTGGTGGTCCGTCTCTCAATCGCTTAAGCGACGTCAAGGATTTAGGTGTCATTTTTAATAGTAAGTATCGATTAAATATTCATATGGAGACAATTGCCGAGAGGCTTTATTATACGCTGTGGTCGTGCGATACAATTAAGCTTTTATACTGCCCACTTGGTCATTCAAAGCTTGAATATGCACCAACTGGCAGCCTTTCTGTAACTTTTGAATAGATAAATTTGAAAGTATCCAGCGACGATTACTAAAGTAGCTACATTTCGAGGAAAATAGTAACCCGCTAATTGGCTACCATCAATAAATCTTAGAAGCCTAGAAAATGATGTGCTTGGTTCATTTTGTGCGTGATATATTGCACAATTGTATTTATTTCTGCAATATATTGCATTAATTCAATTTTCTTGTTCCAAGTTTAAGACAATTTGATACTTTTTATTTGCCTACCCCTAGAACAAACATCTTGCAGTTTCCTCCACTGTTTTACTTTTGTGGTAGGGCTAATAAAGCTGCAGAATAATTATTTAATATATTTACTGTGTGGTTTTGTCTATTTTTTCCTCTCTTATCTGTACTATGATGTTTGAAAATATTTGAAAATAGCACCTTTCTGTTTGAACTGCCTACTCATGAAATAATTGTTTTCTTGTAGTCCGGGCTGCGTCCTACTCTGCAAATGGCTGTTACCGTTGAGTAGTGTTTAAATAAATGAATGAATAAGTTACTTTTTTACGTAAAGTTATACTAAGTGACATATAAATCCGAACACCCAGTTTAAATGGTTTTATTTTAATAAAATTTTGTATAAGTACTTAATGAAGCATAATAAGTAAATGATAAAAATTTCTAAATGATTGCACTGCTTTAAAGCCCTTTGACCTTTAATAATGTGTGGATGCACCCTGATGTGCTACGCATTCTCCAACGCGCCTAGGCATGCTTCTGATCAGGTGGTCAATGTCCTCCTGTGGTATCTCACTCCAGGCAACCACCAACTCCTCTCGAAGTGCTTCTAGAGTCTGAGGAGGACGTTGCAAATTGAGCAATCTCCTACCCATCATATCCCAAACGTTCTCAATTGGGGATAAGTCGGGAGATCTTGGTGGCCATGGTAACAATGTGACATCATTATGTTGAAAGAAGTCTATTGTGACTCTTGCAACATGTGGTCGGGCATTATCTTGTTGGAAAGTTGGATCTGCCAGGGTGTCAAGATAGGGTAAAAGATGGGGTTCTAGAACTTCGTGGATATAGCGCTGCGCGTTCATGTTACCTCTGATGAAGATTAAAGGTAACCTGGAACCATAAGCTACAGCACCCCAAATCATAACTCCAACAGTGTGATGAACATGTCTTTCAACAAAAAACTGTGGATTCCTCCTTTCACCACGTCGCCTTCTAACCCTGGAACGACCATCGTGCATGCCTAAACAAAATCGAGACTCGTCACTAAAGACAATACTGTTCCATTCCTGATCCCAGAGTGACCGTTGTCTGCACCACTCAAGGCGATTACGTCGGTGTTCTCGAGTTAAAGGGAGGACCCAGTGTGGCCGGTATGAAAACAAGCCAAAACTTCTCATTCGTCGGTAAACACTTCGCATGCCAATAGGTCTTCCGTGTTCTGCAAACCATTCATTTGCAATGGACCTGGTAGTGGAGAAACGGTCCCTTAGGGCCAATAATCCTAGGCGGCGATCTTCACGGTCTGTTGTTCTACGGCGGCGTCCAGTACTCCTTGCTCTTTACGCACGGCCTTCTCGAAGCCATGCCTGACAACACCTAACCACAGTGTCTACACTTCTTTGCACTCTAACTGCAATTGCCAGAAAAGAAAGTCCAGCTTCCCGAAGTCCCACTATACGGCCCCTATCAAACTCACTAAGTTGACAAAATCGTACAGGTCTCCGTACTCTAGGCATCGTAACTGAACGAAAAGGATGTCAAGAACCAAAATCCGCCAACGTTGATTCTTTACTGCGGCTGAAATATTCATTTTTAGAGCGTTAGTGAATTAAAAAAAGCAGTATAAAAACCGGAATGTCCAACTGATAAGGCTGAAAATTTTTTCACTTGTTATTTTCAGTAAGATAAATACATTCACCAACTTTTATTAAAATAAAACCATTTAAACTGGGTGTTCGGATTTATATGTCACTTAGTATATTTATTCAGAAAATATTATTTCTATTTCTTTTTTGTAAAAGCAAATACCGTTACATTGAATGAAACCTATTTTGACTAGAATATCAAAATTTCAGAAGCGAAATGTACACTCAGGTTCAAAATAAACGCAACAAGAGAAATTTTGCTCAAATTCGTAACCTCTTAAAGATTTTATTTTTAGCTCGATTTCATTGATTATTTAAGCAAGTTTGTCTAAAAACCATCGGCAGAAATTTAAAAGCAATTGAAAATCAAGCTTCGGTAGTGCTTGAACCCTTTGAATATGGTAGGGGTATAGTAAATTGTCAACAAGTATTTTCCAAATAAGTAAATGAGCATTGCCGCAATCTTTCTATGATTTGTTTCTGGATGTCCCTCAATTGTGTTTAAAACAGCTTCCTCTAATTCTGTCTTTTCACCCTTTGGAACTCATGTCAATGCTAAGACTCCCAGTTCTGTATATTCTAGAAAATATTCTGGTATCGGGAATGATACGATTTGGATACCGCTCTTGTTATATCTGCCTAGCCATAACTCTGTAGGTAAAATGCATATCTACTAACTCGGAATTTGGAAATCTTGGTACAGCTCACTTATTTTCTCTTTATTATTAAAGAAACTTTCACAATGTAAAAAATTAATACGTTTATGAAACTTGTCAAAATAAGACCGCAACTTAATCGATCAAATGTCATTATTTTGGAAACAAAACAGGGCTCCAGCCTACTAGTTCTATATAATTTCGTTATACCACAATTACATGAACATGGCTTTATTTTTCACGCGAAAATGGCGTACCATATTCTTATCTGAAAAATGTCCAGTGTACATCACAACTGGTAGAAATATAATCAAATATAGCAGATACATATCAAATTTCACGAAAATATCTAAGACAGTATTAAAGTTATAAGAAAACGATTTTTTACTTAAAATTTTAACACCCACCATATATGTTCATGTATAAACTTTCCTTCCTAAAATGAGCTAAGCAATCATATCCTATATTTTTAGCCATCAATTGAATTACACCCTGTGTACTATAATAACGCAGAGCGTCTTTTCATTTATCAGAAATTCAGTTGCTAAACTGTCGGAAATGCTATCTTCAAAGCATCACTTTGTGCCCCTATTTCCTTGCAATACGGAATTATATAAAAAGACTCACATTAGACGGAAATTGATTTTCATCTCTTAGAATGAGAATATCCTTCGTAAAGGGTTATGTTGCATCAAAGGCTGAGCATAACGAGTTTTTTATCCTATAATGCGATTATTGCTCATCAGCTTTGAAGTAATTGGACGATTTTTGCTCTCAAGGACGCTCTTAACAGCTTCCTCATCGTCTTAGGAAAAATTAAAAGTACGTGGGATAAGCTAGGAGTAAACAGGGATTATAAGTTCTACTCAAAATGTCTCCTTATACAAAGTATGAACATGCGAACAACGAACGACTTTTAAAAGAAGCGACTGTTACAGTTCCTGTTTATTGTCGACTAAAAATTAACTATAACTGGATAAAGTAAATTATTACAATGTTTTTCTTCTTTAGAATAATAATTTTATAATGGTTATTAGAAAAATTGAATTTTATTTTTATCGGAAGGGAGGGGATTTGGTCGGGTTGTGGAGATTTTGATGGTGAATTCTGCATTGATACTTCGAGGCGATCATTAAGTATAGGACTCACGTCTGCAAGAATCATTCCACCATTTCCGTCAACCCTCATTGTTCGAGGGTTCTACCTTCGGGTTCTGAATTACATGCGGTAAAGTTGAAAACGTGAATGGTAAAATTTCAGAATTTGACAAACCCTGCAGTGACGAAGTGGAAAATAAACATCTTCAAAAGATGGACATGAAGAAACACAAACGTTCTTTCTGACTTACACTTCCTTGCGTTGTGGCTGCATCCCTAAGAACCTTATACTTGTAAACTATAGTTTTAAAAAGAGCCGAAGAGCTACACAAATACGCATATACAGGGTGTTTCAGTTTATTGTTGTATAACTTTAAGATTCGATAGAACTTTCAAAATTAATGCATAAAGTCTATATAAACATGGGTCGAAAAATGCGTGGCTTCCGAAATACAGGGTGTTTAAATTTACTTTCTAAAATAGTTTTTTTTTAAATATTTCGAACAATATTTGTTATATACTGACCTGTAGTGTAGTAAAATGACCGAAAATTTTTTCTTAGTGCAATTTTTTGCTTTTTGAATAAAAAAACTGATTCTTCGCACTTTTCAACATAAAAAAGCTCTCCTGTGAGTTTTCGTTATAGTTAGCCGTTTTTGAGATATATCGATTTTTAAGGTTCGATGCATCTTTAATTATTTATGAGAAAATAATATTTTTTTACATTTTCGATTTGGGTATTACAAGTAATTAAGATGATCGTTTAGATTGTGTTTTTAAACACAGCAATAATTCCTAACTCCAAATAAACACAAAAAACAGAATATTAATTTGTTTAATTTTCCAATATTATTTTTAACAAATTAAATTAATTATTTACAACTAAAATGCTATCGGATAGTTAGGACAAACATACAAAATCTAAAGTAGTTGCTCGAAATGTGAACCCAATTGTTCAATACACAATTCACATCTACGACTGATCGAACGTGGTATAGCATTATTCAAATAAGGCCTTATTTCATCACATGCATTCCTGATTCTGTCTATTAGCGTATCTCTTGTGGTTACGGGAGTCTGGTACACTTTTTCTTTTAGAAATCCCCACACAAAGAAATCTAATGGATTTAGGTCAGGGGATCGTGGAGGCCAGGCGACTGGTCCTCCACGGCCGATCTATCTTTCTGGATAATTTCCGTCCAGCCAGTTTCTAACTATTCTCGAATAATGAGCTGGACAACCATCAAGCTGGAACCAGGCCAATCTTCTTAAATCTAACATAACATCATCCCACATATTTGCATGTTGACCCTTTAAAAATTCCAAGAAGGTCGCAGCATTTAACCTTGCAGGCAAAAGGTAGGGTCCAAATAGTCGATTACGCTAGGTACCAATTCACACGTTCACACTAAATTCATGGTACAAGCATTCAGACTAAAATAAGTATAAATCAATTAACATTATCGGTCTATTTCAAAAAAGGCGTTTGAAGTAATCGAAACACCACTAAAGTTCTTTATTTTGTTGTCATACAGTTGTGATTATAATTATTGATATCGAAAATATAGTAGACCAGAAAGGTAACCACTGGATAAGCTTTAAAAGTCACATTCATTTCTGTCTCGATTGGATTTTTCTGTAATTTGAAAGCATACCGCGGCAGATGTAAATTGCGTGGCGAATGAGACGAAAAATAACCGAACTGGTAACATGCTGCTCGTCTGGCTATAAAATATGGAAGCAGGTCTCCGAATGGAACCTCGTAAATTCGATTTTATTGTTTTCCAAAAGCATTGATGTTCGTTATCGAGATGAAAACTGAGGGTTAAGAAATGAGCTTCTTGCTTTATACTTTATATTACACACTCTGCCAGATAAGTTGCTTGACAGGATCCGACAAGGGAGCGAGCACCGGGATATGTGTATTCCGCATTTAAGAAAACTCAGTTTGCGTTAATGATAATAAAAATTAACGTCTTTCGTATTTGTTTTATTTACTTTCTGTTTTATTTGCGTATACCAACATATTTGACTTTAAGGGGTTCAAACGAAGATTATGATTACTACTACACCTGTCAATCTGGACAAGATTTCGATACGTTTTGTTATTAGCTGTTTCCAAGTCATTACTCCTAAATGAGTAGAAAATCTGAGTATTGTCGGCAAAAAATTGTTTGCAAGATGATTTTGCCTCATTTTTCAAATCTGCAATATATAATGAAAATCACGTTGGTCCTAATACAGATCCTTGTGGTACATCAGAACAATTTTTTTGTGCGGTAGAGTACTGTCGACTTAGACGAACTTTTTGAAACCGATTTTCAAGGTGTGCTTGAATAAACGAAAGAGGTTTTTCAGAAAATAATAATAACTGCATTTAGATGCAAGAAGTGGATGAGTAACTGTCAAATGCTTTAGTAAAGTGATGAATCATGAGAGCTCTGCTTTTTTGATGTCAAGCGCTATTGTTATATTGTCTGTTAAATCACAGAATACCGAAGCTGTATTATGACCCTGTCGAAATCCGGATTGTTTAGATGGAATAATTTTGTTAGAATATAATTAGGCGCAGAGCTGCTCTAACCAACGCGTTCTAATACCTTTGAGAAAAAAGACAGTAAACTGATCGGTTTCAGTTGACCATAGTTTGTAGGATCAGAACACTTAGGTGGTGGAACAACTATAGCGTATTTCCACTGATCTGGAAAATATCAGTAAGATTCGCATCAATAATTCTAGGAGATAGAATGATAACTACCTACCCAGCATGTCGTAACGACGTCGAAATGTGGTGGTAACTCGTTAATGAAGTGATTGTGCTAAATATCGACGTACTATTAAATGCCCGATTGTATACGTTCACTGTAAGACATTGTGACGTGTTTTTGAGATTACCGATTCGTTTGTTAATTTGGAATCAAACTTTTTTAATCAAAAAACGGACCAATTCAGCGGAGAGAGAAATGATTATCTTAGTCCATCTCTAATCGACGTCAACTCAAAGCACGTCAAAGTTATCTGAAAAGACAAACTGTTAAGGTGTTGCCAAACGTCGCCATATAATGCTCGTCTTCCCTTGTATAGTTATAGCCCTCCGATATATAATATTTGATGGTTTACGCACTCTCCGTTCTAGACAGTGGTAGTCAGAAATCTTTTGAGCATCTGAAGCGAAGTTTCAGCAATTTTATTTATCGTTTTTTTTATGATGATGATACAATACGGTCACTTACTACTTACAGTCTGGTAGAGAATCACCAAGAACACATTTCTACGAAAACTAAACCTACCAAAACTTTTTCGCATCAAGCAGAAGCGTTCCATAAAACCAAGACGTTAAGCTTCGTTACTTACTCGTATTGTTCTGCAGCTTTTTAAGTAGATATAACTTTAAAACTTTCTCATAACAAAAGTTCGTTCGTGTATACATTTTTTCATATCTCCTCAACAACTGCAGATATTAGCTTGTATCAATGGTCGATTTTTTCATATAAATAAGCAAGTTGAAATAAGTGTATTCATTTTCATCAGTTTCACATGATTTGCAGCGTTTTCTTCTACATATCGTGCTCATGCTGTTGCTATATATGATTCTTGAAATGCTGTAGTTGAAAATATTTTAAAGCTAATTTTTAGTTAACTATTACAAAGCCGAACACAAGAAAAGTGTGGACAGGAATTATGCGACTGCAAATAATCAAAGTGTTCCAGAAATTAAACGTATAGTACATGGTAATCTAGCTACAAAAGAATTTTGTGATTGACCACAGGGATCTAAGACTAAACCAAACCAAGCTAAGCTGAAATCAAGTTTCCAGATAGAACACAACTTTAACTCTTCATATTCGAATTGAACTCCCTTACCCTTTCATTGATAAAAAAACCGGATATCCGCATCGACTCTCGTATCCGCTGACGTCATAGAAAAAGCATTACTAAAGGTCAACCCATCCCAAAAAAGGGATCTAAGACCGACCCTTACAACTACAGGCCTATAGCTTTGCTTTCTGTTATAAATAAGGTGATGGAGAGGTGCATAAGTCGCAAGCTTCTGGACTACCTAGAAAGTCACGGCTTGATTAGCGACGAACAAAAAGCCCTGAGTATTACTCACAAATCTGCTGCCGCCCCGACTACATTATTTAGGCTCGATGTTGCCCAGGGAAGGGCTAGTGACAGTTCTGAAATCGAATCAACAAAATTTCTTTGGAATCGTCATAGCAGCCGTTGTCTAAGCCCCAACAACAAAGATACCGTGTACGATCCTTTAATAGCCTATGAATTACTTCCCGTCACACTCTCGCCGGATTCCCGGATACCCGGCCATCCAGGAAGTTGTTAAACAGATATTTAATACCTAGCATCGGTTTCAGGCCAGTGGCAGGGTTCGACCCCAATTTATTATACATCTTACAAAAGCCTGATTGATAATATTCTGAAGCCTCACCTCCTTTATCCTCCTCAAGGATGCCACAATATCCTTCTTCCCTTCTTCCTTGTACCCGTTTAATATCTGGCCGGTCATGCGATCAGCCGTCGATATCCTCGGCCGCATACCGTTACCGTTTTGATATATGGCGGGTTAGAGTCAGACGATAATAGGTAAAGGTGAAATAAAGTCCCTTTTCTGCACTGGGAAGAGTAATGTCTGGGGTTAGCTTTGAAGTATGCACCGTACGTACTTCGGTCCAGATCGATAAATCTCTCTTAATGGTAACTGGGTTTGCGATCCTGCTTTCGGTCGGAAATGCAAAAGGCGAATCGGTGCATGTCATGATTTGTGATAAGATGCGAGATCGGTGGCATATACATGTGTTTCTTCGTTAGTAATTCGGAGAAAAGTATGTCGTATCCATATTCTCAGAGTACGAATACTACAAGAAAACCAAACTGAGAAAATGTGTCGTTCCGGAAAATTGTCACTACTCGTAATAAATGTTTTAACTAGTCTAAGTAACTAAACAATTCAGCTTAATCAAACTGACTTTTCTGGAACCAGTTTAATTGAAAATATACTATTAAACTAATTTGGTTGGAAATACCAAACCCTGTTCCTGTTTTTTGATCAGTTAGGTAATTTTCTTTATGAAGAAACGGTACATAAAGGACAATTAAGCATTTTAATAAGAACAGTCAAACTGTTTATTTGGATCGCAGACTCTGTCATTCGTGAATGATCGGCTCGATAAATACAGGGTTATCCAAATTAAGTGTCCACCATTAGTAACTTTGTTATTAGTGAAAATACAAAGTTGTTTGAATTAGCAAACTAGTAGCATTTTTAACGCTGGTAAAAATGAGAAATAAAAAAAAACAATTGAGAGTCGTTATTTTGATTTTTTTCAGTAAAATAACATTTTTTTAAATGGAAACCCCTGTATATTATATTTTTTTCTGTTAAAGCATCAAATTTTAAACAAAAAAGTTCATAATGACTTTTCCGCTAAAGTCAAAAATAAAGTCAAAATAACGATAAATATTTTTAATTATTTGCAGTATTATAATATTAAGACGGCTATGAAAACAACATGGCGTTCGCGATTTGACAGCATTAAGATAAGCGACAAATTGTTAAACTGGACATACTCGCAACTAGAAGGCTTTGGAAAACAATGATAAAATCAAATAATGTCAAACATTAGTGTAAATACTTGTTTATAAGCTTTATTGTGTCATTAATTTAAAGAAAAATGTTCTCCCATGAAGAAAAGTGTGATATGTTAGAATGCTATTTAGTGTGCAGAAAATCCTCCTTGAGAGCAAGAGAATACTACAGTGAATTATATCCCGCTCGCATTCAACCGTATGAACGATATTTTCTGAGACTTTATCGAAAATTTAGGGGCAACGAAAATGTTTTTGCTAAAACAAGGGCAAAAAAAGAATTCATAATAAGCGAGGCCACGGAAATTGCAGTTATTGGATATTTTGAAGCTTATCGTGAGAATTCAATAGCAGATATTCTAGGGACTCTAATTTCAGTTATGGTACTGTTCAAAGGATTTTAAAAAAATACAAATTTATTCCGTATAAGTACCGACCAGTTCAAACGCTTTTGGCAGGGGATCCAGAGAGAAGACTTGTTTTTTGCCATTGGTATCTTAGCTTCTGTCGCCAAAATGTAAATAACTTTCGTTACCTTTTATGGACAGATGAATCAAATTTTTAAAATTCTGGAATGTTTAATAGAAAAAACCACCATTATTGGTCAAGAGAAAATCTTTTGTTAGTACATCCAAGAGGCCCACAAGTCCGTTTCAGTTTCAACGTTTGGTGCGGTATAATTGGTTTAAAAATTGTTGGCCCGTTCTTTTATGAGGGAACCCTAACTGGTGAAAGATATGTGGAATTTATGTCAGAAATTCTGACTAATTTCTTAGACGAATTGGATCTTATAAGTAGACATCATCTGCATTTTCAGCAAGATGGCGCACCTGCCCACAACTCCAGAGGTACTTATCATTTTCTAAGTACTACTTTTAATGATCAGTGGATAGGAACAAATGGCCCAATACAGTGGCCTCCCAGATCACCAGATCTAAACCCACTTGATTACTTCTTGTGGGGTTACTTAAAGAACCAAATTTACAAGCGAAGGTACGATAACCTTGACGCGTTAAAGACTGCAGTTAGGGAAAAGATAACCCAGATAGATGGTAGGACCATACTTAAGACAGTTCGAGCAGTTGAAAAACGTGCCCAAAAATGTATTGAAGAACAAGGTGGTGTTTTCGAGCATCTTCTTTAAAAAAAATTGTTATTGTATTTTGTAAGATTATAAGTTGATGTTGAAAATAAAGTTTGTCGATACAATTTAATTGTTTCAGATTGGAGGCCATAACTTCAACAATTTCTAACCTAGGAGAAAAGTTATTGTAAGCTTTTTTATTTAAAATTTGATGCTTTAACAGAAAAAAATATAATATACAGGGGTTTCCATTTAAAAAAATGTTATTTTACTGAAAAAAATCAAAATAACGACTCTCAATTGTTTTTTTTTTATTTCTCATTTTTACCAGCGTTAAAAATGCTACTAGTTTGCTAATTCAAACAACTTAATTTGGATAACCCTGTATAGTTGAAACGATTGTCTTTTGGTTTATATAAACTAGTATCATTGATTCAAGTAAACTTTTTAATAAATCGGAGTTTTATTAGGCTAATTAAAATTGTTAGATGTTACATAGTTAACTAATTTCGTTAATTGGACTAACTGAAATTTTAATTGGTTTAAGTATTTTTTTCCGGTACAATGGATTTATAAAAATCTCAAACTACAATGAAACTACTACAATTTTCACATCTAATTGATGAAATCGATTTTTTCACGTAAATTCTGTAGAAATACGAATCCTTAGATTTAGTTTATTGGCCTATATATTTCCTACATAATAGACATAAATTTCTCACAATGTTTCATAGAGGAGCAGAAATAGTATACAGATTTAGTGTTATTGATCTAAGTAAACGGTTTATTAAATTTAACTAAACGATCGCGTTTTGGTTTAATTAAACAAGTTTTATAGATTCAAGTAAACTGTCTTATAAATCGGAGTTTAATTAAACTAATTAAACTTGTAGTTAATTAAATTCCGTAATTGACTTAATTAAAATATTAATTGGTTTACCTATATCGATATCTCTTTTTATAGGAGCTGTATCTTCAAAACAACCTCATCAGCTTCATCGGCAACCGCGCTTTCGACGGCCTCCGCTTCCTGAAAACGATCGACCTGAGCAACAACCGCCTAGCCAGGTTTCCCGCAGGAGTTCTCACCAGCGTGTTCACTCTACGTAACCTCAACCTCAGCAACAATCGACTGGAAACGTTGGTGTTCACGTCCATCGAGAACCTCTACAAGAACCTCGTCGTCTATCCTGGCAGTCTCAGGTTGACGGGTAAGCGATTAGTGCAGTTATACTCCTTTATTGAACGTTAGTTACAAGCGCTTGGCGTGAACTTGGATAGAAATACAGACGATAGTTATATACTGCGATATCGCATCCTATTCTCAATCTAAAAAGAGATCCTTGTATATACTTATAGTTAGAAACTATCAGCAATAACAAGCAAAACTTTTGTTCGCAGTCCCCGACACAATAAGCATCCTCAAGAAAGAGTTCGTTGAACATTTTGTGGCAGTGGCACTAACGAATAATGGCTTCTCTAGCGTAATGCAGAACGATTCTCCTTCAAATTATAATGCTTTTCGTGATTTTTATTTTAAAAACTCCTCCGCGAAAAAGTATTCAAAGTAATTACAGTTATTTCCGTAACGAGAGGAGCAAACGCTTTTAAAATTCGAGCTCCCCGTTGCACGTTTCTGGTGAATAATTAAACTCGATTAGTTTTTGCTTTTTTCGGCTTAGCCTGGTGTTGCTGGGTTTTTGTTTCGAAAGCGTTTTGTCCGAATGAGTCGTGCGAACGAATACCGCTTACAAGATATCGCGTAAGGTTTTGGACTGATATGGAGATCGCATTCAGTGGAGTTTGGATTCTAGATTTATAGTAAGAAAATGAAACTACGGACATAGAATTTACTCCTAACTGACAGCTGAAGCGTCGTTCCTTAAATGTAGATATAAGGTACCTCTAGGGATCTATTGTATTGACGTTTCTGCATTAGCAATGAATAAGCCTGTGTTTACGATCCTGTGTAGAACTTATTGAGCAACATTACTCGACAAACCGGTCAGCTAGGTTAACATCTTTAGAGGAAAATTAAAGTTTCTTCTTCTGAAGATACTTACATAGTTACCAAAACACATGTCGAGTATTAAAAAACGGTTTGGCGAGTGGTTAAGTCATGTGGTCATTGTCGTCTAAATAAGGTGAGAAAAACTTCAACCTCAA